GAGCTGAGCACATGTATTGGAGGGAGGCAGAGGGAAGGGGTCGCGGGGAGGGGGGGGGGTACAGTGAGGGGTGCGTAGCGCGCGTTTCAGTAGAAACGCACACCAATGGATGAGGAAACAACCGCTAACAAAACTGCAAGCCAATCTATGTTACCGTAACGAACTAAGAAGTTGTTTTGGTTGTGATAACACTCTCCACTATATAAGAAAACCACTACACTCCGAGCCATTGCACGGGTTGCTCGCGTGGCAGTTGGACGTAAGCGCGTGCAAGGGGCAAGGTGGGGGGGGAGTGGCGAGTACGGAAAGGGTGAGGTGAGGAAGGTGGGAGTGGGTACCGAGTGACCTCTTCTCCTATTCTCACTCCCTTGCGCGTGCTCAGTCGGATCTGAGCCCATGCAGGGGAAGGAGGCATATGGATTGAATCGGGCAAACTGGGTACAGTAAGGGGATGCGTAGCGTACGCTTGAATAGGAGCAGGCGGCAAGAGAGAAGGAAAGAACCGCTAGCAAAACTGCAAGCTAATCCATGTTACAGCAACTAGGAAGCTGTTTGGATTGTGAATAGCTCCCCTATCTAAGCCAACCACTGTGATAGACTCTGTGCTATTGCAGGAGCTGCTCGCTTGGGAGCTGGACGTGAGCACGAGCAAGGCGGTGGTAAGAACAGTGGCGGCGTAGTGTCCCTATGTTGCACCAGCTGCTCACGTGGCGGCTGCATACCACGTGCGGGAGTGGGCGCCGGTTAAATAGGGTCAGTGGGATATGATGTGGTGAGGGGATACCAGATGAGAACGGCGATTTCGCGATTAGGAGCACATAGCGCCTGCGGCGGTAAGGCGTCTACGGTTGCGATAAGATGAGAAGAAAATGGATCGACCGCAATCGGAACTGAACCGATTAATGTTGCATTATCAAATTGTGGTAGCGTTTTGATAGTCATAACACCCTCCACAACATAACTCAGAACCATTGCACGGGCTATTCGCGTAGCAGCTGAGCGTGACCTGTAGGGTGGCTGAGCGGGGAATAGCTGAGGTTAGTTTGGGGATAGGTGAGGTGGAGGGGTACCATATTGGCGCGACCGACGCTCGCCTGAACAGGAGCACGCAGCGACTGCGGAAATCGATTATCCATGACCAGGTTTTGAACTTTTCATTATGAAAGTGCCCTGCGATCATATGGCGCGTTTCTACATTCATTTGATTAGAAGACAGCGGTTAGTCACGACTCTAAAGCAGTTGCATGAGCCCGGCGAAGCCGGGCTTCCAAGAAGGAGAGCTCGGCGTTAGCCGGGCGATCCGACTGGTGAGTGTAATAAACCTCGGAAAGTTTGAATGATAACACGTCTTATCATGTATCTTTATGAAGTCTCTTCATTTACTCGCTCAGCAAGGCAGGGCCTGGTCGGTTCAGACGTAAGTTGATTTTATCAATAAAATAATCTGCTTTGAACTTCGAAAAACCAAGAGTTACTCTGATTAATAAGGTAAAGATGCCAATATATTACTATAGTGCACTTGCTGAAACCCAGCGGCTTAGGTAGCTTTTTAAATATAAATCTTGTGAATTATTGTAAATTGTGACTTAAATGCTTCATGAGAAAATTTGCTACATCAGTACGCGATACATAGGTATAATATCTGTAAACAAAACTTTTTAAAGGTTTTGAGTTCTATGAAACGCAGCAACGGCATACTGAGAGAAGTTGTACTGAGGGTACCACGCCTCTAGCGCAATGTCTTGAACTCGCTTCGAAGAAAACACCACCAGGTAAAATAAGTGTAACTGCTGCAGTGTGTCTCATTTAGACAGGTGATTTCTCCCAGGAAAAGAAGTCTGCATAGGCCATCCAACGTATAACACTTATGTTATGCTCTGAAACCATTTGTAAGTTGCCTCCATTCCTTATTAACCGATCCAGCGAACACCTTTAGTCTTCCCACTAGTCGTGGCCTACCAACTGCCCTGCTTCCGGCTTCAAAGTGAACTGTCTCACTGCCCATCATGTTTGATCTCTGTTTATAAACTTGTTCGCGCA